CGTACCTTTAATTCGCCCAGCTCCGCCATCTTGAGACATCGCAGGCGCCCAGCCCGGGCCCGAGCTCAGGCCCAGGGACCGGCGCACAACTCCCCACCCGGCGCTGGCCGCAACTGCCGCCCGCTCCGCCCCGTCCGGCCCCTACACCTCCCCTTCCCAGCCCCGCCCGCCCGGCTTCGGACGAGCCGGCGCGGCCCCTCCTTCCGCAGCGCCCCGGCCCCCGCACGTCTTCGGCCGCTTGGCACCGCCGTAGAGCGGGAGGGAGTGCCCTGCGCCACGACCGCGGGGTCCTCGAGGGTACCCGAGGAGGCGGCCGAAGTGCCAGGGGAGGGCTCTGCCACGCCCGAGCTGGGGGGAACGAGCATCCGGGGAGCCACGGGCACTGGAAGGATGCAGGAAGGTCTGGGAACCGCCGGGCGCAGAGCCGCGGGGAGGGCAGCGCCGTGGGCGCGAAGGTCCTCGCTCTCCGTCCCTGGAGTCTGACTCCAGAATCAAGGTCCTGCCAGCGCGCGAAACGGGCGACGCGGCCCGCTTTGGGGAGTCGTGGGCAGTTAGAGGCTGTCCCCGTCCTTCGCCTCGCCTCCGTCCCCCCAGCACACCAGCGACGACCCGGAGCGTGCTCCAACTCGGCAGCGGAAAAGTTTGGTGCGGGGAGCGAGACTCACCAGCGCCGTTGCGGGAGCGAGGCGGGGCTCGGGAGGCCCGAGGGTGCCTGGTGTCGGGAAGGGGGCTCGGCAGCCCTCCGACGGGCTCCGCGGCTGGAGACGGACGGCCGCCGGACGCGGCACCGCAGCTCGGCCCGGCCCAGCTCCCGGCTGGGGCCGCCCCCTCCAGGGTTAGCCCGCCGGGCTGCGGCCAGGGGAGGGGGCGGAGCCGCAGGAGGGAGGGGAGGCGTCGGAGCGGGGCGCGGGGCACCGAATTCCTGGTGCGGGGGCCTCCAGCGGGACGCGGTCATGGCACCGGGACGCGGTCATGGCACCTCGGCGTTCACACCTCCTCCGCGACTCCTCGCAGTGCTGCGCAGGTTAGGGGCGGGCTGAGACCCTGGCGTGCTAAGAGGTTCCTTCTTGGATTGAGACCTCTTTCTCCCGAGGGGAAGACCCAACCCTTAGCTCTACTGTGGACCTCCATCCACTGCCCCAAAGCCAAAAGTATCCCACACCTTTGGTGCAGCGAAAATGAACACAGGAAAGATTTTCTTACAAAAGTAATCTTTCTGGCCCTCTCAGAACTGCCTATACGCCTTCCTCCAGAGCCTTGGATCCTCCAGAGGCCCTAAACCCATTATTACTCGCTATTGCAGAGTAAATCCGTTTCTATATCCATGGAGATAACGACCTTAGGGCAGTGTATCCATACTTTCAGTCTGGAAAAACTTCCAGCGTTTTATAGTTGTCTGGGGCCTAAGGAATAATGTTATTTGTTCAATAATTACTTTCAAAGGGGGGGCTATAAATACTTGAGTGTTGGTTAGGGATTATTAGGTGTGAGGCTATAAATATGTACCTTGCAAGAAAAACTCAAGTATTAGCGAAGACATGTCTATAATTGGCCTTACAAATAAAAAAGCTTTAATAAATATTAGAAATAATCCCCTCATTTAGCCTATGCTTTCAATGTAATCATTCCCATGTACTCCAACCCAAGCCATAAGACTGAAGGTGCTAGCTTAGCAATATTCCTAATTACCTGTCAAGTGGACCCTGCCCAGCTACTTGGTGGTGTTCCTAGGGAAGATAGCCACTCTCTCCTGACACTCAGGTCTTTCCTTCCCTGTACTGCTGCTTGAACTGGTGGGCCCCTCAAGTTAAACTTTGGCTAAGTATTTGGTTCTAAATCCCAATTGTTTCCTGCAACATCTGAGTCTTCTTCAGCCCCAAGTTCATTTTTTGTTGTTCTGTTCAGTCCTCTAAACTCAAGTTACTATGGATTAGTGTTTTCTAGAATTTTCAGTAGTTGTGGGGTGGAGAGAAGGGAAGATTAAAAAAGGAATGGGGACGAGTGAGGTAGCTCTCGCTCATAATCCCAGCGACTCTGGAGGCTGAAGCAGGAGGATTGTGAGTTCAAAGCCTCAGCAAAAAAAAAAAAAAAAAAAAGTGAAGCGCTAAGCACTCAGTGAGACCCTGTCTCTAAATAAAATACAAAATAGGGCTGGGGATGTGACTCAGTGGTTGAGTGCTCCTGAGTTTAATCTCTGGTAACCAAAGGTGGGGGGATTTTTGAGCAATGGTTATCTTCATTATTTTGGTTGTATGGTAATTTTGTGGGATGCACACACACACATAAAACAACATGTCAAATTGTATACTTTAAATACACGCAACTTATGTATGTCAATTATACCCCAATAAAGCTGTAAAAATTTAAAAGAAAGTTAGCCTCACCTTGATTCTTAGTGATTTCATAAAGGAAGAATCTCCTTTAAAAATAATTTGAGGTTGGAGACAGGAGTGTAGCTCAGTGGTCGTATTTGTCCTTAGCATGCATGAGGCCCTAGTTTCAATCCCTAGCCCCACACACATACACACACGTTAATCTGAGGTTATAAATTCTAGCCATCCTACAGGACAACACAAAACTGGGGACCTGAACCTCATCCTCCGTGCAAGCTCTATTAAGACAAAACCCATTTATGTGCTGTTCATACTCTGTCCCCAGGACTGAGCATATAGGAGACGCCTTGGATATCTGTTTTATAAATTAATGGGAGGGAAACTGCCAATCAAGACCAAGTTCCAGATTAAGAGCATTCAAAAACATAGTCTGCACCTCATCCTGGTTTGGTGGCCCACCAGGCTCCACCTACTCTCACCCACACACTCCTACTATCTGAAGCAGGGAGAAGGAGGGGAGTGGAAGAGAGAATCATAAGTCCCTACTAAAGTCTTATTAAACAGGAAGGGACATTAGGATTATGGTTACTTTGGGGGAAAAAAGGTTGATTTATGAAATCAAGGAAAACTTCAGGGTTTGGAGGTGGGAATAACATTTCATAGGATTGTATGGAAGGAGACTATTTCAGAAAACCAGGGACTGGGGAGGGTTCCACTCCTTAACAATGTCACTCACCACTTCTGTAGCCCAGCCATCCTGGGATAAGCTTCCAGAAGCCCTGGAGGGAGCCAAAGACCTGGCTTCCATTACCAAAGCTGTTTCCTGACTCATACTGAACTAGCCAAATCATCTCCCACTCTCTGGATCCTTCTCTCTGAAGTTTCTTCATTCTTCCCATCCAGAAACCCCCATATATAATGAGGACTTAACAGTTCTTTGATACACTTTGGTAACTCTAAGAGAAGGAAGGAAAAGAGAAGCTCTGTTCCCCTTAAATGACTCCGACTCTTTTGATGCTCCTCCTTGGGCAGCTGCACCCCTTCTCCCTACATCTCCATCAATCCCTCCTCTTTCCATTCTCCCTCTGCCTTAAAGCAATCCTATGCTCATTCACATAAACTCTAAAACTGATCTGCGCCTTCTCTTGGATCTGATCTACACATTTCAGATGTGTAGTCAGCCAGTCTCTGCAGCCCTTGTGTAGCCCCCCCTCCCTTTGCCACAGAAACACCTACCTCTCCCCACTCTTCCCTCAGTCCAGTGTCTTTACTGCCAAACCGCTGCTGTCTGACCCAGGGTAACCCAGCAGAGGGCGGGCTTGAGAGATGGAATGGGGAGGGATCCTGGTGTTAGCCACCAAACCAGGATTCCAAATTTTGCAAGAAGTCAATCTCACCTAGCAGCCTGGCTGGAGGAGGGGAAGGAAGGAGTGGATACTGGGGGAAGTGGCTGAGAGATAGTCTTTCAATCCCAGAACAGAACCAAAAAGAAGCTGCCTGGGACAAAGAAGAGTGATCACTTGAGGCCATATGTATCAAACCTAGACACATTGTTTAATACATGATAGGATATTTTAAATTGAACATCTTAAAAGAAAATCCAGTTCTCTTGACCTCTCTTTTAAAAAGACTGTGGATTGGGGCTGGGGATGTGACTCAAGCGGTAGCACGCTTGCCTGGAATGCGTGCGGCCTGGGTTCGATCCTCAGCACCACATACAAACAAAGATTTGTGTCCGCCGAAAAATAAATAAATATTTAAAAATTCTCTCTCACTCTCTCTTTAAAAAAAAAAAAAAAGACTGTGATTAAGCAGGGCACAGTGGTGCAGGTCTGTAATCTCAGCTACTCAAGAGGCTAAGCAGGAGGTGTTACAAATTCAAGGCCAATCATGGCACCTTAATGAATCTCAAAAATCAAAAAGGTCTTGCTGGGCATGGTGGCACACACCTGTAATCACAGTGTCTTGGGAGGCAGGAAGATTGCAAGTTCAAAGCTGTCTCAACAATTTAGCAAGGCCCCAAGAACTCAGTGAGACCCTGTTTCTAAAAGTAAAAAAAGGCAGGGTGGGGGGTGGGGGGTGGGCTAGAGATATGGCTCAGTGGTTGAGGGCCCTGATACAATCCCTGGTACAAAAACAAAAAAGGCCTGGGGTATAGCTCTGTGATAGAGTACCCCTGGTTAAGCCCTCAGTAGTTCACTTACACACATACACACACACACACACACACACACACACACACATCAAAACAAACTACTATAAACTATTACATAAATAGTGAACACATGCCATTACAAATTTGTCTAAACCCATAATATATGCAACACCAAAATTGAATTCTAATGTATTACCCCTGATGGATTCTGGCTTATAATGTGTCAATGTAGGCTCATTACTTATAACAAATATGCCACTCTAGTAAGGGATATTGACAATGTACATAGACTCTATATACATGTGGGACAGGGTACATATAGGAAATCTCTGTACATTCTGCTCAGTTTTGTCCTAAAAATGCTCTAAATATAAAGTCTGCTTTTAAAACTTGTTTTTAAAGGAATGAACAAGATTTCATCCCCCACCCCTTTGGACAGAAAAAAAACAATGACACCCAGCGCCATCCTGCCTCCTGCTTTATTTTCCATAGATACCCCTGGTTTCCACCCACACCTCTTGTTTCATCCTTGCTGATTCCAGGATCCATATTTTCAGGTCTGGGGGTCCATACGTCAGGAGAAGCCCCACCTGCACCACTCCTAATGGCCAACCCCCCCACCCACCACAGCTTGATGGAGTCTCTGTAAACCAAGGATGCTCTTATTCCCTGAAAGAAGAAATTCAAGAATGAAATACACACACCTCCATGTCCTCGTCTCCTCCTCCCCATGTCAATGTGCTAAAGGGAACCCTTATCTTTCTGGCTGAAGGAGAAGGTCACCTTCATAGAGGTGGGGAGAAGATAAGGGAATAACTGCTCTTTGAATGAAGGAGAAATTCTGGAATTTGTAGAGTCCTGCCCTAAACTTGACACCACTATTCCACTTTCGGTCCTTCACTGGCATCTCCATACCCCAGACCTTAGGAGAATCACCCAAGTTCTCTTTTCCATCTCATTTCATAAGTCTGCCCCACACTCCACCTGCTCAGATTCCTGTCTCCATCCAGTGATTTCCCACACTGTCTTCCTCAAGTGACCTTAACTCACATGCTCTATGCTTCATAGAACTCTGCAGTGTCAGTCACCACAGGGGTAAAAGGAGACTCACCAATTCCTTTCCATAAGCCTCCTTTCCCAGTTCATTTTTCCCAAGCTACATCCCTCTTCATCCTCAATCCACAACTCACAACAAAGAAATCCCATTCTCTCTGAGGGCACATAACAAGGCTGCCTCACTCCTCCTGTATGCTGAGGATTCGAAGTAGGATAGTGTACACATCCTGTTCCATGTAGCCCTGTAGGCAGCAG